GCTGGGGTGGACCGAGCCCGGGGACAGGCTGCCCAGAGAGGTTGTGGAGTCTCCTTCTCTGGAGAGATTCCAAACCCGCCTGGACGCCATCCTGTGCGACCTGCTCTGGGTGATCCTGCTCTGGCAGGGGGTTGGACTAGATGATCTCCAGAGGTCCCTGCCAGCCCCCAGCAGTCTGGGATTCTGTGACAGAGCCTTTTGACTAAAAAAATCCTCTTCCAAGTGAGTTTTGGAGAGTTCAGAAGTTGCAAGGGCTGGAGCAGGAGTGATGTGGAAGCAGAATCCCCATCAGAACATGTTAACCTCACCTTTTGGATGTGGCAGGGAGAGCTTGGTGAGAACTGGAAAGCGATGTGTTAGGCTGTCAGCAGGTATGTGGAAAGGTATGGATGGGCTAGAGGAAAAACCTGCCAAGGAGCCGCTGCTTGGGCCAATGGATGGGCTTAGTGAAGCAAAGAAGATGCTTGTGCGTGTCTGTTCTCTGCTGGAGAATGGATGTGGTCCTTTCCCCTCTGCTGCTCCTGCCCACCTGGCGCTGACCCTGGCTGTCCCGGCAGTAGAGTGCACATTGGGCTGTCGAGACCGTGGCCACTGTCTGGTCCCACGTGGGGTCTCGTGCAGTCAAGGCAGGACCATGCAAAGCTGAGCATGTCTTCTGCAGCCAGGTCAGCAGTCAGCTGTCACTCAAACGAGCCTTTGCTTCTTGAGCATCGCAAGGAGATGGGGTCAGGTGTAACTGGATAATGCACCGTTCGTGTAACTCCTGTGTAAACAGGTGTAGCTGCGAGGGGACCCTGCAGTCTAGACTCTCCTTGTTCTTGCAGTTTGTTGTTGCTGCCGCCTGTCTGAGGCACTCCTAAACACGAGTGCTGTTGAAATCAGCACTCCTGCCTGATCTGGTCTCCTGGGGGAAGAGTGAAGAGGACTTGTGCTTCCTGCTAGTCAGGAGAGGCAGTTCGAGAGGGGCTGGAGTGGGCGATGAGAGTTGTGCTAAATGCTGATGCTCCTTTTGGAGGGTGGGGGGAGCCTCGGGAGCCGCCGTCTCTCTCTCCCCCGTACACAATTCGTCCTTAACCGCTTGCCTGGCCCTTGGGCTGTCTTCTGCAGCATGTACTGTTCTGACAAACACTGTTACTTCGTTAGAGACCAACCACATATTCCTGTTGCTGTTCCCTTAATCCCTCAACTGCTGGTGCTAGCCAGGGAAGCGCTCTGTCGTTGCTTGCGTGGGGTCAGATTTGCTCCTTTTCTGAAATAGGTTTCTATTACCTCTGCTGTGGTTGGGCTAAAGCACCATCAAACAGACTGTTTCCCACTTGACAGCAAGGTGCTGCTGCTCTCTAGGAAATAGCTCCAAGCTACAGAGAGGGGAAAAAACAAACCAACACAGGATTTAAATGCTAGAGACCCAGCCTGGCAGCGACTTGACTGTGTGTGGTTCCTGGAGCAGGAAGAGAGTGAGGGAAGCTGGTGGGTTCATCGTGGTAAGGTGCTGAGACCCTTCCCTTCTGCCTCGTGCACTCCATAGCCAGGGTCCTCTCCGGGCAGCAGTGCTCGCTGCCCTTTGGTCCTGTTAAAGCTGAAGCAGAGGTGGTGAGGCAGGGATCGATGCCTGCCTTGGCCCAGAGTGCTCCTGTGCAGCGATTGTCTACAGAGAGGTGGGCTGCAATACAGGGTGCTGCACCAAAAGATTAAAATTCACGTGAGTCAGACCAAAAGTGGGTCAGAAGGGCAGCAAGGACAGCAGCTGCCTGGCAGAAGTTGCCGGGGCTGTGCTCCTGGCTCGCTCTTTATCTAACAACCCTTGAGTGCAGAGGCAGCTCTCCCTGCTCCTAGCTGAATCCCAAACAGCGGCACTGAAGCCAGGCACGCTCTT